TATTAATTGTGATGTGAATTTCAAACACCTAAATGAAGCAGCAACTTAAATCTTGGGTCTTTTGCTTGATTTTGAGTTGGGTTGTGAGGATCGGTGATGCATCGGATAGAGAGAGACGCGGAGTTGCCTACATCACTCTAGTCCCCAAAAAAAACACGTTCTTTATATTTTCTTATGTCTCCTTCTAAGAAATTTTGCAATAAGGTAAGCATGTCATTAAAACTTTCATTAAAACGTGTGTGGAATAATAGACAATGAGTGGCGGGACTGAGATCCTCGCAGAATGTCTTTTCTGCGGGTTTGACAGACCCTTAAATCTTTCTATCTCTGTTCACTGCCTCCATCTCCAACCTTCTCCTGGATTTTGTTATCATTAATTTTATGGAGTTCTTAATAGGAAAAAAAAAATGTAAATATAGTTCTTGGGTTTTTAAATTTTTTTTTTCTTTCAGAACCTAGACATGAAGAGGCGGGGAAAAAATATAATAGCGTATCGGTAGCAAATTGCAATCAAAGGGGAAAAAATAAAGAGATTAGAAAGAAAAACAGTGAGTTATGAGTCTTGATTATTAGTATCCATGGTGACGGTGTTACGAATAGAGAGAGAGAGAGAGAGAGAGAGGATAAAATGGGACGGAAGAAAGAAACTAGAAGGGAGTGAGGTTATTAACTACATTGAGAAAAAATCAAAGAACAATATGGAATGTAAGAAAATGAAAAACTTGAGAGAGAGAGAGAGAGAGAGAGAGAGAGAGAGAGTAAATTGTATGAAGTGTATTTCAGACTTAATGAAATGGATCATCACAATTACAGAATTTTTGTACACACATACATCTAGCTTAAAGCTTCATTCTTACACTACTAACGACTAACTAATCTTTTTAACAACTTAATTAACAGCTTTAGTATGACATGACAGCCTCATTAACTAACCAATGTTGAGCTGTCATTTATTAACACTCAACAAAGGCAACCTTGTTTCGTGTAAAAAATAAATAAAAAATTATTTCTGGTCGTTTGATCTGTGTGAACGGCCAAGATTCAAGGATCTGTCGTATCCTCATAATTAAAGAGATGTGGAGATGATCGGGTTCGGGGTGGGCATAATTATGATTATTTGATTTATAAATAAAATAAAATAAATAAAATAAAAAAGAGTTAATTTGACGGATTTGGATCCTCTCTGGATCCAAAGGATTTGAGCCTGCGGATCAAGTGATCTGGGCCGTCCAAATTTGATCAAACGACTACAATTATTATAACTTTTAGAAGGGCCCCCTGTTTGTAGTCGTTTGATCAAATTTTGACGGCCCAGATCACTTGATTCGCAAGCTCAGAACAAGTGGATCCGAAAAGGATCCAAATCCCAATTTGACCACCTTTGAACTTTCCAAGTCATCCCCTAGCCGTAGAATGGTTGCCGCCAAAATATTTCGCCTAAAGTAGTGTTGCACATGTTGAATATTTGTTGGATCGAAAATAATGCCTCTAGAATTTCATACATTTTTTTTTTGTGTTGAACGATGTTATTTTCTCTAAGGGAAAGGGGATAAGCTTAATCTCACAATGAACTAGCAAGAATGTGGTTCAAATTAGCATTTGACAAGGATCAAACCTAAGACCTTTCACTTACAAGTGAAGAAAAATACTACTAAACTGTAGTACTAAATAGCTAAATTAAAAAAAATTTAAAAAAAACCCTCAATTGCAGCTAATGTGTCATAAAAGTAGTTTTACAATTACTTTAGTTAAAATAAGGTTTTCAATTGCACTGTTCAAATGAACAGTTACTTGACGTGGATTTTGAGCAATTTACAAAATTGCCACCGCCTCTTCAGTTTCAGATTGGAAATTTCGGTTATTTACAAAATTGCCACCCCTTCAACTGTGCACGTATCGACCATCGTAGAAATGGTGGGGATGGAACACACTTCGTTTTCGCTTGCTTCCTGAAACTCGAAGCTCCGATTGCATCCTTAGGAGAGTTGGGGAACGGGTGTCCGTTGCAGAGAGATGATGGTACTAGCTGAACAAAGTTTCTCTCTCATCCCTAACGTGTGCATGTCAGATCTCTGTCCCAAATCCTGGCCCAATAACACTTTAGAGGTAAAGTTCAACCTTCGTCCCGTTTAGTTCTTGTCCAGAGCGTAGATTAGATAAAGATGAATCAGAAATGTCTCATGTATGTCTGTTCTCTGTGTAAGGTACCTCGATTGATGACGATGATATCGAAGAACAGCTCAAATCACAAATTCAAAGGCTGAAAATTCTGTGGATACCACATGATTCTCATATATCCAAAAGGTAAGGTAAAAATCTGACACCTCCTAAAATGATTTGACAAGTAAAATCTTATATATTAGGTTGTCTTCTCCCCCAATTTTAAAGGATTATGATTCTCTCATCTCCTCTTTCCATCACCTTCTATCTCATCCTCTCACATGCTCTTCTTTTGTCTTTCTCTTGCTATAAAAAAATTAATATAAGTTGTTGACGTGTTTTAACCGTGACCGTTCAATTAGGAGGGAAGGAAAGATAAGGGGAAAAAAAAGAGGGGAGAGAATCCTACTCTCAAGTAATAAATTAGTTATATCTTCCCTCCCCCTTCCATCCTATTCATTAAAGAAAAAGACTATTTACCCTATGCGATTTAGCCTCCATACTTCTTACTCAACAAAAGAAAAAGAATTTTCTTTTAGTTCACAATTAAATCCCTATCTCTACAATTCCTTACTTTTGGTTGTAATTTCCAATGAATGCAACCTTTGATACGTTCTTAATTGCCCTATTTACTTATTCTTGGTTTATTTAGCATGTTAATTATTTATATGGTCCTGAAGTTATCAGTGAGGGTTATGATTTCAAGAATTGTTTATATTCTATTGTCGTTTTTTTTTTATTGATTAAAAAGTAAACATATGATTTTATGATACTAATTTCAACTAGCCCACCCAAGAAAAAATCCTAACTCTACTATTGGTTGAGTTGTGAGGATCGGTGGTGCATCGAAGAGAGACAGAGAGACGCAGAGCTACCTACGTCACTCCAGTCCCCAAAAAAAAACACTTTCTTTATATTTTATTATGTCTCCTTCTATGAAATTTTGTAATAAGGTAAGCTTGTCATTAAAACTTTCATTATAAAGAAAAAAGATCCGGCAACCGTTCATATTACATCGGGCTGTCAGTTTTCGTTAAGTATATTTATATTTATTTTAAATTTTAAAATAATTTATGACCGTACGAAGTACGATAAACGGTCATAATCATAGGATCTCTAAGATCTCGCTGGATCCTTTTCCTATTATAAAGTGGGTGGAATAATAGACAATAAGCGGCGAGATCTCTTTTCTACGGTTTGACAGACCCTTAAATCCTGGTTGTTCACACAAATCGAACGACCATAAATAAATCAAGAAAACGACGCAGCACCACCATTTTCTTCTATTCACTTATGCTCTCTCCTTTTTCTTTTTTCTTTTTTAATTTTCTTTTGGGGCTAAGCATAGTTCACAAAATATTATGCTCTCTCCTCTTTCTATTTTTGTTCACTGCCTCCTTCTTCAACCTTCTTCCTGGATTTTGTTATCATTAATTCCATGGAGTTCTTATAAGAAAAAAAATGCAAAAATAGTTCTTGGTTTTTTTTATAAATTTTTTTTTTCAGAACCTAGACATGAAGAGAGGCAGGGAAAACTTCTAATAGCATATCGGTGGCAAATTGCAATCAAAGGGGAAAAATAAAGAGATTAGAAAGAAAAACAGTGAATTATGAGTCTTGATTACTGATGTCCATGGCGATGGTGCTATGAATAGAGAGAGAGAGAGAGAGAGAGAGAGAGAGAGAGAGAGTGAAGATAAAACGGAACGGAAGGAAGAAACTAGAAAGGGTGGTTTACCCAAAAAAACTAGAAAGGGGTGAGGCTATTAACTACATTGAGAAAGAATCAAAGAGAAATAAGAAATGTAGGAAAATGGAGGACTTGAGAGAGAAACAATTGAGAGAGAGAGAGAGAGTAAATTGTATAAAGTGTATTTAAGACTTAATGAAATGGATCATCAAAATTACAGAGTTTTTGTACACACATATATCTAGATTAAGGATTCATTCTTACACTTCTAACTAATAACTAATTTTTTTAACAATCTAACCGCTTTAGTATGACATGGCAATCTCACTAACTAATTAATGTTGAGCTGTCACGACACTCAATAGAGGCAATCTCGTTTGATGTGAATTTTTTTTAATTTTATTTATGATCGTTTGATCTGTGTGAACGATCAAGATTCAAGAATCCGTTGGATCCGCATAATTAAAGAGACCTGAAGATGATCTGAGTCCGGGGTGGGCATATTATGATTATTTTATTTATAAAAAAAAAAGTCATTTAATTTGACAACCTTTGAACTTTCCAAGTCGGGAACTTGCCGAAGAATGGTTGCCGCCATAATATTTCGCTAAGGTAGTGTTGCACATGTTGAATATTTGTTGCTGTAAGTTTGTAATTTTATTTCCTACTTGATGCAAAGGATTGTGACTCAAGTGAACAAATTCAGTGTTTTATGGATATAATTTGGTTCTTTTTATACATAATATTACCAAGGCCTAGAAATTTTTCTTGAAGGAATATGCAAATGTGTTTTCCACATCTTGGCCTGCAATTTATGTGAAGGGGTATTAATGTGTGTTATTTGCTTTGGTAAGATGTGTGTTATTTGCATTGGTGTTGGTAAGATATGTGTTATCTGCATTGGTACATTTGAGGGTGTGATTCACTTCTTACCTCCTTTTTAGCGCATATTTCTGTGCAAATTATTCATGCCTATTATGACTAATACATTCAATTCCCGCAACGAAGCATGCACGGGTTTTCTAATGATTTCTAAAGTTGTTCACATCAATAATTAAAAACTGTGAGGGTTAACTTACTTTTTTTCCTTTCCAAAAAGTGGACTGTCTTTTTATGAAATCTTATTTGCACGACTTTATGATAAAAAATGTATGAGAATCATAAACTTCTATTCTTTATTTCATCGGAGGACAGCCAAACAAGGTAAAACACACCATCTCCCAAAACTAACAAGGAGAGCAAGAACAAAGGCGCTCCTGAATCCAAACTATAATTTGAGCATTGCGATTAAACAAACTTTGCATATGGTCTCTGGCGGCCTTTTGCCTTCTCCAGATTGATCAATCTATGCTTGGCTGCGCTGGTTGCTTAAGCCTTGCGCAAGAAAACTATCAGAAAGCAGCGACTTCATATTCTCCTCGAGGCTTGGAAGGCTATGTTGAGAATTATAATCATACATCAATGGGACCATTCTAGCAACATTAAGAGCAAGTTTTGTAAAAGATGCTGAAAATGGATTTGATGCAGACAAACATTCTTTGTTGAGGAACTTCCATTCTTCCGAAATCCTATGGACAACGAATGCTCGTGCATCTTCGTCTGAACAACCTTGATTTTCATTCACGTAACACGCTATGTATGAACCATCATTTCCATCTTGGTCCTCATCCTGCAATTAATCCAGAAAATATCCTTACAATACTATATCTTTTATAAACAAGTGCTAAATGTAACTCAAACTAACCATATCAAAATACAAGTATGAACCTTGGCACTTCCAAAGTCATCCCATAGCCGAAGAATTGTTGCGGTTGAAGATATAATGCTAGATATGTTGATGTTGTCCACAATACGTACGGTTTCCTTGCTTATACCTTGACCCAGTAAGAAGAATGCATGTGTTAGAACCACAGGCACCCCTGAACTGATGAACCCGTTGTTCAAGTACTCTTCACTGTTTGGCAAGTGCCCGCAACTAAACCATCGCGCTTCTAGTAGGAACGCTTTGCATAATGTTGCCCACTGCATGCATGCAGTACTATAATATTAACAATAATTCCAAATCTGAACTGCAATGGTTAAGTCATTGAATCGAAGTTAACTTATATACCGATTTTTTAAGGGACTCTAGAGGGTTCCATCCATGCCTTTTGTGCACAATGTAGCTGGTTTCATTGGTAATGTCATAAAGAGCCTTAAAACATATCTTCATGTAATTCGGTAGTTCACCAGTTGCATCAATATCCCATCTGCAAATAATTAAGTACATGCGTTATTGTCAGTGCAAGTGACTATGAATTAGACCGCTGATAGTCATGCATGATTCAAATTCACAATCTAGCAACATAATCAAATTTTATTTGCACACTAGTGTAACATGTAGGATATCATAAAACCACACAAGTACACGAACCTCTCAACTGCAGCTGTGAAGAGAATGAGTTCATCGAGGGTGCCCTGAACATCAAAAATATCGTCAATTATGTAGACAAGAGAGATCGATTTTGTGAGTTCAACCCTTTCCTCTGATAAGCTTGGATCTGCAAGGCATGTCATCGGCCACGTATACCATTTAATTGGCTGGTCTCTCACGAACTTCAACTCCTTAGTCAAGCCTAGTTCTTTCCACCACCTAATTATTACAATGAAAAATATTTTCATTAATTAAAATGGAGTACTAACTTCAAATCAGTGTCTTTTGATCTGAACTCACTTGGATACTTGTTGAACTTCATTTCGGATTAGAGATTCAACCATGTTGAACTCTAGTTTTGCTAGCTCCCGCAAAACATTGACCCATTTCTGCTTTCCTTCGAAATTATTTAAGAAGTTCTTAGCCCTGAATCTTGTCAAGCTCTTGTGATAAGGATGCTCTAATGAGTACGCGACTGCTGAAGCTTGATGATCATCGAGATTGTTTTTCATCCAATCTGTGAGAAGCTGGTGGCTTCGCCTTCCAGCTTCATCAAGTGTCTCTTCCCCTGGGAAACTCAAATGAGACGCTTCATATAATCCCACTAGTCCGCTTATGTCGACTTTGAATTCCTCGTTGTTCTTGAACTTATTAAATGCATCTGTTAATCACAAGGAAAATTAATTACTTTGTAGTAATGGTAACATTAACTTCAGAGTAATATTAGACATACCAAATTTTTAAACCAAATTTGACATTTGTATCAGCAAACAAACAAATAAATGTTCACTTGGTCGTTTTTATAAAATAACATTTTGCAGTAAAGTTAGGACAAAAGAGAATTGAGACCAACCTGTGGTTACATGATAACCTTGCTGTCTCAGTAGTCGAAAACGAAGTGAAACCACACCAAGTTCATCACTGCCTTCATCGCCAGAAGCTCTCGTACATTGCTTTTTTAAAATTGCTTCAATCTCCTCTTGGAAATGATAGTCAACGCCTAGGCGTTGCATGGCGTCAACCGCAATCAATTGTTCATTTTCTCCGATATTTGCGAGTGCCTCCTTCAATTCCTTCAATTTCTTTGCATGGCGAACCTGAAGGTCGCCCTAAAAGGGGAAACATTGAACTTAGCATGATAAGCAAACACCAGACTGAAATTACATGGTAAAAAAATAAAGGTGAATTGTTAATTTAGTCTCTGAATTATCATTTGAGTGAAAATTAGTCCATATACTAGTTTTTTTTTTAAATCAGTCTATGAATTATAAAAATCTGTCAATTACATGCTTAATATTAGATACGAAGCTACTATATTCAATTTTCCGTCAATTTAAGTCACGTTACTTGCATGTGATACACATTTGAGGGTAGATTGATAATTTTTCATAAAGAAATACTGTATAGAGTTAACTTTGGAGGGTAAATTAGACGTTACATTCGCAACCTATATGAAATGTTAAGGGCTTATAGGCGAGAAAATAACAGTATTACACTCTAAAGTAATAAGTGACTTAAGTTGAATAAAAATTGGATAAAATAGCTTTGAATATAATAATATGGATGATATTAGCAATTTTTAATCAATTTAGGGACTTATTTTACTGAAAAAATAATTCATGGACCTAATTTTCTTTAAGATGATAGTTTTAGGACTAAATTGGCACTTCATCCTAAAAGAAAAGGAGAGAGAAGATAGTGTGTGGAGTAATTAAGTTACCAAGTAGGGTTAGTTTTGGTACATGTGTAGTGGACTGTGGAGCAATTTGGACACTTAACATATGTGTATATAAAATATATATATGTTGGGTTATTATTTTTGGAACTTACAATAACTTGTCCCTTGGAGGAAGCAGAGTGAGCTTGAAGGAAGTGTGCCATTTTCTACAAGAAAGAAATTAAGAAATTCCAGTTCTGGATGAGATATACTTGTTGGGAGTGAACTGAGGTGATCAGCTCATGGTGATTCCTAGTGAATTTATAGGGCAATATCTCTTGGCATCCAATGCAATGGCGAAAGCATGAGGAACGTTTTGCACACTTTAGTGGTGGGATCAATATGTACGATGATGAAGTTGAGTACTTGAGCTCGATTGATGCATATTTTTATCTTAACAGTACACAACGTTTTGCACACTTTATTGTTGAAGAAATAAGATAGTTTAATTCGTCTCAGCATATTTTAGACCGTTGATTTACTTTTTGAGAATTTTCTATAGGGAACTGTTATTAACAATCTAAAATTTCATTCTACACTTCTTACAAGTGTATTTTTCTTTTTAATTATAAAAAGTTTGGAGTGCAAAATAAGATTTTTGGAATGCCAATAACAATTTCCTTTTCTATATACTAAAACTCGGTTCAAAAAACATTGTTCACCAACCGTAAAATGACAAAATGGCCCTCCACCAGCTCTCCATTGCCCGTTCTTTTTCCTCCCTAGCATAGTGGAATGACGCCTTTGTCCACACTGCCCACGTGTCGATCATCATCCAATGCTCTGCTTCGACTACATCTTCTTGACACTTCCTTCCATTTTCACTTCTTCGTATCTATTTTTTGACATTTGCTGTAGCATTTAGCCAACAACCTAAGTTATATGCTTAACCATTGTAGCTCCCATTTTTAACCGTACTTAGGGGAGGGGGCTCATCAGATTTTGGTGGTCAACAATGCATCTAACCTCCCTGACCGTCCCTGAAATTCCATTTCAATCTCACTTTTATCTTTTGAAACTCAAATTTCGCCCACTCCTTTTCAAAAGAGTAGCAAAAAATAAGCCTAGAAATGTTTAAGACTTCACTAAACTCTTTACCTTCTAGCGGACGACAGCCACATAAAACCAAAACCTATCCACACCAACAATTCTTAGATATACACATAAGCACATGAAATTAACTGTAATTTTACATATTTCAGCTATTTAAAGCTGTTGGGACTTTATTTCAGAAAAAAGATGGCCAGTGGATGAAGATTGAAGAAGCCTCCTCTTCTTTTTTTTCCTTCTTTTTTTTTCAATATATGTGGCACCATTTGGTTGGATGTGTTGATCTTATACTTATGTCATGTCTATGATGAGTGAGTTTCATTCATATCACATAAGTAAACTTAACGAATATGTAACAGACATGATAAAAATCAAGCAAAAATGGAACGAAATTTAGTTCCAAGGTATTAAATAGAAAAATTTGAATTTAATGGGAAAATAAGATTAAAATCAAGTTTTAGGTGGCATAGGAAAAATAAAAATGTTGTTGTTTCATTTAAAACTCAGTCAATAGTTAATACAGTTACACATCAATGGTAGGGATGAGCATTGGACAAACATAGTGGGATTGGAGTTGGGCAATCCATGTCCATTAAACAAACGATGAATGAGGACCATTACCCAAAAAATCCATTTATACATTTAATGGAGACCCGCCGTCATTCCTACACAACCCATTCCCACCGAGAGAAGATGAGCGAGACAGACCACAAATGCTACTCAAGTATGATTTTTTATGGAATTTTTAATTTTCGTGTTATCATTATAAAATGTTATCTTAACATTGTAAAACATTTGTCTCACTTTTAAGACCAAACTCAATCCTGGGTTAAATGCTATTTTGTAGGTTTTATTCCCCCCTCAAACTCAACCCAACCCATGTTAAATATGTGGGCTAAAAGCTAAAAGTCAAACAAAGCCAAATTCCCTCTAGAATTTAGCCCAGAAAATGGTGTGGACCACCAGAAAGACCTCACCCACATGGACATGTCTCCTATGATTTATTGAATCCAACAGTTGAGATCGAATATAATCAAATCTAACGGTAAAAAAAAAAGATCTAATGGCCTAAATTTAAACCTAACGGTAAAATAATTAAAAAGATTATTTAACTCAAAATTCACCCAAATTTAGTGATTTTTCAATATTTATCGGAATTTAAATATTTTTAGGTTAAAATGTTCATAAAATTAAATTATGTTAGTGTAAATAATTTAATAAAAATTTAGGCCAAAAGGGTTGGAGCAGAAAAACTGTTTTTGAGCTAAAACCTAAATTTTATGGACTAAAAATTTTAGGTTTTAGCCCAAGGGTTGGAGATGGTCTAAGAGAGTCCCTTAACATTTCTCTAGAATAAAACACCCATGGATATAAGCCAAGGGACAAAATGACCATCCCTAATCAATTGTCATTCTCTTTCTTTCTTCTTATAGTTCCTTAATATTCTACTGAGAAAAAAGTTTTAATGCTCCATTTTGATGACTCTTCTTTTCTTCCTTTTGTTTATATGTACTCTCCCTTACGTTTTGTCTTGTTAAAAGAGATTATTAAAGACGGAAGATCATTAGCACTTTAGTTAGCAAGTTAGCTAGGGTGGTTGTTCATTAGTGGATTCCCTTCTTTGTTTTTTTTTTTTTTCAGCTGAAAGCATATATACACTCAGTCATGATAGCAATACTGAAAATCAAATTGGATAGAAGATGATGAATTAGGCGAACTGAACTACACATAAAAGCATAATCGTTGAACTACATTTGTACTCTTACTCTTCCGCTAAAGCGAGTAGAACGAAATTTCTTAGCAATTTACTCTAAACTACTCAAGTTTCATGAGCAACAACAAATGAACTGTTTAATTTGTGTCTTGTGACTGGCGTGACCTTCATTAAAAAGGAAAAGAAGGTGTGAAGAAATATCATGATCAAATATATACCACAATTCTTTATTAAGTACTACCAAAACAAAATTTGGAACTTCGAATATTTATTACTGTTGGGAATCACACATCATATTCATTTCATACTTGTGGTCCTCAGATATGAGAGAGGATCCTCGCCGGATCCTCTAATCACATTCATTCATCGTACATCGTGCGATCAGTTTTCATCAGGTTTTATTTATATTCAATTTTAAATATAAAAAATTACAAAGATTTCTGACTGCAGTACAATGAATGAATATGATTAGAGGATTCTCGGAATCCTTACAAAGAGGATCCTCATTCCTTAGATATTATCACGATGCATGTGTACGAGATTCACGTGGAACCCTAATTCTATGTGGCCACTTCTTTTGCCATTTTGTATGCCGCGGGAAACTCGGCAAGACTTTCAACAAAAACGAGTGGATCACAGTACAACTTCTGTAACTTTCGTTGTTGTTTTTTTCTTAATTGAATGACTAGTGAGTTGTGACTACTTACCAAGAACTACAACCCTAAACCTTTACTCTGTGAAACTTTCATTGTTTTTGTTAAACATTCATTACGACCCCCGACAGTGAAAGTTACATTGATATTCCATTGCATGCATCTTCTTTCTTCACGTATAGCCGTTGAATTATAAGTAAACATAAATAAAAAGATTGAAATAAGACTATAATTAGCCACAGAGTTGTTGGCTCTATTATGTAGTGGTTGACATGCTTGTCCGCATGAACCTCGCCAGGCTTATGTCTGGCATGTGGGGAATCTGTTTGGGGCATGGGGCTTCAGTCGCACAGCCTACACACATTGTTCGGTCCATAACGAATTAATCCGGGGTTAATTTTTTGAGAGTATTTGAGTCAAAGAATTTTTTTTTCCCAAAGCTTGTTTTAACCCAGTAATTAAAAATGGTTTGGATGAGATTTAAAGTTTAAAGTTTAAACTTTATCCTAACCATTGCAAATGGTCTTAGTGATGTTATTAGTCTAAAAGCAGGTTTCTTTTATTTCTATGACATATGTTACTAGCTAGACTTGATGCACAGAGTAAGAATGAAAATTATGAAGTCAAGAAATTGAATGGAGAACAAATTCAAGATGATGCTGAATTGCTGACAGATGCGTTGTATACACGGGGTGGGTTGGGTTGAGTTTGTGCTATCAATTTTGATTGGGTTGAATTGTCTTTAGGCGTTCCTTAGATGATCATCGTTGTAACTGCAGCTTCTTAAAATAAAAATAAAAAGAAGACTATCGTTTTAAGCAAATATAACAAAAAATTGAATGAATATAATATGCTATTTGAAGCTGTTCGAACCATTAAATGAGGTTGGAAAATAGTTTTTAAAACTAAAAATGGATACACTAATCCAAAATTCAAGCCAGAACATTACCAAAATATCCTATATGAACTTTAATTAGACATTTACAATGTGGCGAAAATTTGCTAAACCCATTAAAAATCAAGTGTTATTTTATTTATTTTTTAGGAAAACTAATGAAAAATGCTTGAAAACTTTGAGTTTTAACAATAAAGACAAAATAAATGATAAAGTGAATAGTATTATAATTGATTTTTTAATATAAAAATAAGATTTTTCGTTAAAGTGAACAGTATCGGAATATTTTTTTTTAAAGTTCCCTTATATTTTTTGGTTAAAATTTGATAATTTTTTGCGACATCTTTCCCTTTGAGGTTTTGGGGCCTGAGGATAGTAAACCATGATGCTTTTGGCTAGAAGAAGGGATGTCTCCTTACTGTAATGATTGGATTGGCTCTGCTCGCCAGTTGTATTTTGTGCGGCACCGGACACCTCACTTGAAGTAGTTTGGGACTGAGGACTATCTTCATCAAGACGCTTCTCCGACAAATTTGCCTGCCGAAGTTCCTCTCGAGCTTCTGTTACTTTACCTCTTTAAAGCTAATGAACTCCTCTTAAAAGCCAGGATTTCTTGCCGAATGGCACTTTGGTTGCTCTGAGAAGTAGATTTTTGTCACCTTATGTTTTTGACATAATGTTTTATAAATAGTGACATGAGAATTGACGTTAATTGTGAGGCGACAGAGAGTATATGAGGGATTCCACTTTTGAGAGAGTCCCGTTAACATTTCTCTAGATGGATATATAACCCATGGGGCAAAATGACCTTCCTAATCAATTGTCATTCTCTTTGTTTCTTCTTATAGTTCCTAACTTCCTACTGAGAAAAACGATTCAATGCTCCATTTGGATGACTCTTCTTTTCTCCCTTTGTTTATGT